CAATAATAAGAGCACCCCAAGCAGCACCAACATTTGTATAATATGTTGCATTACCTGGTGGCTCAGATAACCAACTTGCTTTATTTAATAAATATCGAAGAATAACATCTGTTAAATTTGTTTTTATAAAATCATCACCTGACATTCCATGATGAAATTCTTCTTCATAATTTGATCCAAGACCAGATGAATGTGAAAGTATATGACGCATAGTTATAATTGAATATGGAAATAATGGATGAGATATTCTCATTGGAAATTTTAAATATTGATTAATATCAACATTAAGATTGAGTTGACCTTTTTCGACTAATTGCATTGTTGCAAGAGCAATGAATGTTTTTGAAAGAGAAGCTAAAACAAATATTGATTTTGATGGATCAATTGGATATTGATTTGAAATAGGTGAATGATAACCAAAACCTTCTTCATAGAGAATATTACTTGAATTTACAACGATTGCTGCAAGACCAGGAATATGAACATTTTTTAATTGATTTTCGATTAATATTCGAGATGGAGGACATTGATGAGCTGTTATAGTTACAAAAAAAGTCAATAATAAATATAAAAGCATCTTAATTGATAATTTATGTCTTATATGTGCCTATATATATATACATACTATATTTGAAAAAGGATTAACAATGATAAAATATCATTTGATAGTATTTTTTTTTGTAAATTGAATGAGTCAAGGATTTGAAATAGATATTTCAAATTTATATTCTATCAAAGACTGATAATCTGAAGTTTGGTCGAAAAGGAAAAATGTCGAAGCATATACAGTGTAAATCTACTTGTCTGTGAAGATTAGATCAACAACCACACTCATATCCTCTATCGATCGTATATAGTTTCAAATTTAAAGTGAATTATCATTTAGAAGTTTGTGAACATATCGATATACATATATAATACTGCGTTGTGACTTACCGATGAATTATCCTTGGAAAACAATTATAGTTTGCTAGAGATTTTTCACCTGAAATTTGTATTTTCGATTAAAAGAGTGAGAACTCATAGTCTATTTGCTCAAATGTGTACTTGTAGAGTTACGCCATCTGTTTGCAAAACAAATTTTAAGGTGCCTTCATAACATTCAGGATGAAAGAGAAAAGTTGAAGAATTTCGTCTTAATTTACTTGATGATCTATTGTTATGGGCACAAATTCTAGCAAAATGAATCCTGTATCTACAGATGAACTGAAAACAAAAATATTGTCAGTCTACGTACCTTTAGAATCACTCACTGAACAAGTTATACGTTCTATAATTTCAGTCATAAGTTCATCTGATAACTTAAGTCCAGATTATAGTCAACGTACTCTTCTCATTTTCTTACTTGCAATAAATGAAAAATTAAACGAAATTGAAAACAATACAGATGAAAGGGGATCAATATCCGATAAAAATATCATTCAACATGCAAAAAAAGTTCGTCAATGGCTTGTATACAATAATAATAAGCCATTGGACTGGGATAAACTTCGTACAGCATATGATGAAATGACAAAGCAACATCGTAATGCTTTGGCACATTATTGTGGAGTTAAAGATGCAAATCCCTACTTTGAATTAACAATAAAGACTGTGAGTTGTTTAGAATTCTATAGCATATGTTTATTTAAAGTTAAATTTGGACTCTTCTCTTCCCTACTTTAATGATCATTTGTATTTTTTCTTTAAAGAATTTATAATTAGATAAGACAATTTTATTTGAATTCTATTTATTTAGCACTTCAATGATGTAAAACGATCTCGTGTCTATATGAATAAGTTTCGTCAGGACGGGTTTAAGCCTGAAGAACTGAAACTCTATTGGAATACAGAACAGATTGAAAATCTCTGTCCAAAAGATGGAGAACAGACAGATATAAAACTTCCACATGATTCATCAGATATTGATGCTATTGAAAATCTTCAAAAGTATCCTGTTTGTAATCGAAATCATCATGTCAAGATCGATTACATCAACAAAGGAATTGAAAAAGCTGTCTTTGATATACCTGAAAATGCTCAAATTATTGTTCTCAATTTTGCGGTAAACTCTTATATAAAGAAATCTTATTAACTCTATCTAAATTCTATAGAATGAACAATCACCAGGAGGTGGCTATTTAAGACATGCCCGTAAGTAATGCTTATCTTAAGTGAAATCAAAAGAAATTCATTAAACTTTTCTTGACATGCAAAATTTTACTGAAAAATATCCATAGAAATAAATCTTTAAGATCAATATAATTTAATTATTTTATATAGGAGCACAAGAAGAAATTATTGTTTATAATTCAGATGGTTATCGAGCATTACTAGATCTCAAATATACACGAATGGGTGGTGGTTATGCTATACCTGAATTTGGATGTGCCTATGTCCGTAATATGCGCTTTTTTGATTCAGAATCAGAGGAACGATATCGTTCAGCAGATATGTTGGTTTCGGCATGTTATTGTTTAAATGGATCTGAACTTTATGATAACCCAAAGACTCGTGAGCAGGTGATTACTAGAAAAATATTTTTTTCTTTTTAAACTCATCAAAATCTCCATTGATTTAATAATATTAACTAGTTAAACAAAAATGTGAAAGTAAATTCTATTTTAGTTAAGAAAAAATACTTTGGCTAAATTTCATGCATTCATGGCAGCAGCTGTTGCAAATACAATAGGTGATGGTAGTACCACGTATCTTTTACTTGGACCTATTGGTACTGGTGCATTTGGAAATGATGTTGAAGATATAGCTAAATGTTTTCGTGATATACTCGAAATGCCAATGATGAATTCAACACGACCTATTCGTTATGCTTTTGGTAATATTTGGTTTGTTTCTATAGATGATTGGAAAAACGAAATTTTCAAAAACATCTTGTCTAAAAGTGAACCTGATAATGTTGAAAAATCTTAATGTATTTTTTTTTTATTTGAGATATATTTAACAATTTAATTAATCATGAAAGACAAAATTGAAACTTTTTATTTTCTACTCACAGTATGTATACACTTAATACACTAATTATGATGAATATTGAAAACTGTTCAATTTTCAAAGAACAACTCAAATAAATCATTTATTTCAATAAAAAAAATAAAATAGAATCGATCAATATTTATATACGCATGTTATATCGAAGTTATTTTGATTAAGTTAATCAATGAACATATAATAATATTATCGAAATCAAAGAGTATAGTTAGAATTAAGCTTGAACTGAAATAAAAGCCGCGTATATGTGTATTAAAAGAATAAAAATATATGGACTCTCGTTCACAATCACTCAAATATACAGTCAGCATATACTGATTCAAATAAATTAAAAAAACTGAAGTATGTTACATCAAAGACATTTTCAAATTGTATACTTCAAAACATTCTCATATAAAATATTTATTTTAAAGTTTGAGGAAAGTTTTTGACTGATACAGATGACCTGTTGAGTTGATGTTGATCTTTTTTATTTTATACCAAACAGAAAAAAGCTTTAAAAAAACAGATTAGATTATTTCTTAGAAAAATACATTCTCTGTCAAATAAGATTAAAAAACAGATTTTGAACTACATCAAAACGAAGGAAATAAAATCTCGATTATTTAACATGAGTCATCTAATATTTCTAAATTACAAATAAAAAAAAACAAGAATATTGTTTATAAGATTTGTTCAATAATTAAATTTTCTATTCATTTCTTATGATTCCTTATAAATATCGGAATAAAGAGAGTGTTTCCACCATGCACATAATGTCAAATTCTCTGGTTCGACAGTTGATATACGCATCATTAAACCATAACAAATAATATCATCATTAATAAATTGCTCATCATTTTTACCTAATATAATCCATTCTAATTCACTATTATCAAAATTTGGATCAATTTTTACGGTTTGTTTATATTCTTTGGGAATTAATGTTTCTGGACCGATTTTAGAAATAGATGTTGGATTAACTCGACATTGAAAAACTAATTGATACCAACGAATTTCGCCATTTTTTTTTACTTGCTTCCATGGAAAAGCATATCGTGGATGACCACAATATTCAATACTTGGTGAGACATAAACTCGTGGTACTCCATCACCATAAAAACATCCTGCTGTACTAACTCGAAGACCTGATGTAAGAACTTTTGATGCATTTTCACCACGCGTTCCATGATAGGCAATATACCAATTACCCCAACGAGCATCGAACTCTTTCTCATTTTCAGCTACTTTAACACCAAAACGTATCCAACCTATATATGAAAAAATATATATATATGTAAAATATAGATTAAAAACTATTTATTTTTTACTAACCTGAAGGACAATGATAAGGTTTACCACCTTGATTGATTGGATTCGCCCAGTATTGTCCTTCATCAGGATTATTATTCGACCAAGCATATTTTTTATTCCATCTAGGATCCATCAATCTATGTTCAACTTTCAAATTGAATTCGCCAAGTGTAATTGATTCAACATTTGCATTGAGATCACAACAACATTTACGTACTGCTTTCATTCGTGCAGCAGCATCTGGAGCCGTTCCATTTAAACTATCGACTACATTCTTACCATAAGGTGGTTCAACAAATAAAAATAAATTGCCATCATCAGGTTCAATGCTATCAATACGTATAGATTTAATTGGTATAAGAAAAGCTTGACATAAAGCTGCAACGAATCGTTCTTGAGTTCCATCTGTATTAACTGCCCATTGTTTCATATCAGTTCTATCTGTATCCAATCGAATTTGAAAGGGTAGTTCTTGAGCTAAGGTATTTTAGAAAAACAAAATCTAATTATAATATTACTCATCATAATTAATTCAAGACCACAA